TTCTGCATGGTGATAGTGGGGGCAGTGGGAGAACGCCATGGTACCAACACAGCAACAGCGGAAGGCTTTGGCCAGCTCTGCTTCCATTGAAAAAATATTTTCCAGCAAATTCACAAATGCAATAAAACTGTATTTTATTGCTCTTTATAACTGTTTATGTCCAAGAACAATTTTCATCTTGCTAAGCTCTCAATTTCCCAGCTTGAAGATCTAGGGTATTTTTGAAAATGCATCTTTTTCCCCAGCTAGAGCTTGCATTTTTATAGAGCTTCATGATACGTGTTTTAGACTGACTTCCTTCTTTTTGTCTGTAGCTGAGATAAAGAATTAGTAGTTTAAAACAATAACTACATGTTCCACTATGATCAAGGAATTAGATAATCTGGCATGTTTGCTTAAGGGGTCTGTATCTTGGGGCTTTTATAGGGCAGTATTAAAGCCCTGAGCCTTCTTATTATGCCAATACCCAGAAGATTGCTTTAATGAGAAGTAAAGGGCCTTTTTCCAATTACAAGGGAATAACTGTATTAAGTTCCTGTGTTATGTCAACCTGCTTTGATTTGATTACTGCGAAAGAAATGGATTTATCTGTCAGTGTTACTTAATTAAGCCTTCTCATTGATGTTTTGCAGAGTAATATAGTGTAGTTTGCACATTTAAGTCTAAATACAAAGAAAATTGGTCGAAAGCTAAGACGCGACCCCTGAAGATAAGGCACAAGAGCCCTTGCTTGTCATTTTCTCATCAGAGTCCAGAACTTTTAACTTTGGTGGAAGAACTTGAGCATTATATGGGCTCAGATTTAAAGCAAGGTAAAGAGTGAGGAATGTTCAGCCAAATTTGAGATGGCTAAAAATTTTGGAGTCTAGGCAAATCTTACAGAATTATTCTGTGAGGTTAGTCTCCTAATCTCTACCCGATATAGTATGCTTGGGTACGTGGAATGATGTCTGCATACCTTTAATGTCTGTCTTCCCCTGATACATCCCTAAAAGCTGTCCTTCTGCCTGCCCAGGAGTGTCCTTCCCACTTGGTGGTGCTTCCCCCTGCCTAGGCAGGACTTTCTCGCTGGGTTAGTATTGGGTGTGCCCAGGGACTCGGTCTGGGATGTTTGCAGAGATGAGGAATACCCCAGCCCCGGGGTATGTGTTGTTCCCGTGTTATATTAAGCATCTGATAGTGCCCTCTGGTCATTGGCACCCTTGGCTCGAGGGAGAGGTAGGGATAACGCAGCAAAGAGTGCCAGAATTATATGGGCTCAGATTTAAAGCAAGGTAAAGAGTGAGGAATGTTCAGCCAAATTTGAGATGGCTAAAAATTTTGGAGTCTAGGCAAATCTTACAGAATTATTCTGAGGTTAGTCTCCTAATCTCTACCCGATATAGTATGCTTGGGTACGTGGAATGATGTCTGCATACCTTTAATGTCTGTCTTCCCCTGATACATCCCTAAAAGCTGTCCTTCTGCCTGCCCAGGAGTGTCCTTCCCACTTGGTGGTGCTTCCCCCTGCCTAGGCAGGACTTTCTCGCTGGGTTAGTATTGGGTGTGCCCAGGGACTCGGTCTGGGATGTTTGCAGAGATGAGGAATACCCCAGCCCCGGGGTATGTGTTGTTCCCGTGTTATATTAAGCATCTGATAGTGCCCTCTGGTCATTGGCACCCTTGGCTCGAGGGAGAGGTAGGGATAACGCAGCAAAGAGTGCCAGAAAGGACAGCTGGGAGGGAATTCAGCTCACCACAAAAACATACGTTTAACTGTAAGCATGTAGATGGTTCCTTTCACATCATTGGGACTGTCCAGCAGTTGGTCATGAAGCCAGTATTTCCATGTGCTGCTGGAAAGTACTGGGCATCTTCGGGAGCGTGGCACCCCTATCCTGTGCCTGAAAAAAAGGTTTTTGAAGAAGATGACTCAGAAAGAAGCACCACGAGTGGGTTAAATTGCGTGTAGCAGCCCAGCATATGTTGAAGGCGCGATGGTGGACTCTCAGCTGGAGCTGGGTGGTGGACTCCCAAAGGCAAGAGCTCAGCAACTGAGTGCACCCCTTGCCTGGGCTGATGTGGGGATGCCCCCTTCCCTCTCTGCTGTCCCTCCCGGGTACTGAGTGCAAGAGAAGGATTACTGCTCAAAACACAGCCCTGAAATGTGTTATTTTAGGTGACGCATTAGCGTGCCCAAGACCACAGCATCTATATTCTTAAAACATAAATAAAAATGTACAGTATAGCAGTCTGAGAACCTTTATTGGCATGTAAATCTTGCTCCTAGCACTGGCCGTGAGCCAGTGTAAGGGGCCTTGACAACATGTATTATTTTAGATTAGCTGACTTTTACAGAAAGTAAGTATGTTAATAAATGAAGTTTCTAACGGAGCTATGTGAATAACGCCTCCTTGTTAATGAAAGCAGAGCTCCCCAGGCGACGCCCTGTGCAGCACCGTGCAGAGCCCTTTGCTGGTGTTGCTCTGTCCTTTACCCTCTGTTTTACACGCGCACGAGTGGGCTCGTGGGTCTGCACAAGAGGGCTGAGAGCAGGACGGGGCTGAAGCCGAGCCTGCGGGTGCTGGGTTTATCACCTGTCTGGAGGTGGGCTCAGAGCTGTTGCCCAGTCCCCCAGGTGCTGTTCCCGAGGACTGAGCTGTTCTGCTTGCTGATGGATTTTGGAAGCTATGCTCGAGGGTGGGATGATGCCCATCAAAGTCAATGGGATAATATCCACTGATTTTTAGCAGGCAATGGATCGGGGCTCTACAGAGTTAATTGCCTGTTACATAACACAAATGATTTTTAAAAATATGCCTAATTAACCTAATAGAATGGTTGATCTGATCTGTCAGGTAAATGATACACATTTTCTTTCTTTTTCTGGAGCTTAATTAAATATTTACCTAAGAGTGTCTTGTGCTATTAACACATTCATCTGTTATTGAGATAATAGGAATTGTAATTGGGGGAAAGTATTAAACTATACAAATGTGTGGTATGGGGTTTTTTGGGGGTTTTTTGGGTTTTTTTTTTATAATCTTGGAAATCAACCAGCTTTGGTCACGGCACCTGTATTTTAAAGTGGTAATGACCATATCTGTTTCTCAGACAACTGAAGTCCTCACCGATCCTAGAAGTCTGGATGAACCAATGCACAGGTAGAAATGGAGCTGCTCATGCCTAGTCTTTGGCAGCACTCTGAGAAAGTTTCTCTAGCCAGCAAGACCAAATACGTATTTTTTCCAATTAGATTAAAGCTACTGTTTGTGCATGGCAAAAGGCAAGCAATATAATTATTTCATTAGGATGCTAGTGGGCACACAGGAGTAAGTTGGAAAATAGCACTGAAATGTGCAATAATACTGTTATAGATCAATGTCAATCACATTTCCTGATATTTAACATACTGTAAGTAAAAAAGTAATGGATTTAAGCAGTATGGTCCAGTCCATTGATGTACTAAAGGATGTGCTTAATGTTAAGCACGAGTGATCTCATTTACTTGAATTAACAGGGGAGTGAACTATGATTTCGGTGGAATTATTCACAGGCTTCCATTAAACCTGTGCGCAAGTGCCTCGCTGAACCGGTGTTATGTTTAGCCATTAAGTTTTTAGCCAAGTGGAAAGTCTCAGGAGACTCCCAACTCGTTTTAGTAAAGGTTTCGTGATGGCAGCGGTTGTGCAAGCGTATCCCAGCATACTTGAGTGCACTGCAGAGGGTCTTCTGCTTTCAGTGTCAGCGGAGTTGAGTTCCTGGGCTTGGCGCAACCTTGGAAGTAGCGTGGCCAGCCCGGAGGTGCACGTCACTGCTTAGGGTACCCGAGAGGGACAGCCCCCTGCCATTGGGGTGTCTTTGGAAGAAGTTACTGTGTGAGTCTTTTTTGGGTTGGTTTTTTTTTTTAGGCTCCGCATTTGAAAGAACATTCAGTGTTACAAGGAAGTTTTAACAACAATAAACTGGGTTAATGGACAATACTGGGAAAGACTTGGGGAAAGTGGAATAAAAATAGTTGCGTCAGAGAAGAAATACTGGGAATTGTGAAACATGGAGAGCGTTCATATGCAAAACGTGTCTACGACCTGATTTTTGTCAAGGAAGATGTAGTGTTGCGGTCTAGCTAGCCTCTTGTATCCAGTGATCTGGAAGCACGCTGCAGTGGCTGACTAGCAAAGCTCACCTCTCCTTCCTGGGGCGACTACCAAGCTGTCCCTTCGCTGCACAGATAAAATGCACACAAGAAAATGGCAGGCTGAGACATTCCTGTGTTTTGTCGCAAAGTTAAGAGGAACTTGTAGGAGTCCTGGTTCTTTGGTCTGTACCCTAAATGGCACGGGGTTCACCACGTCCTAGCACATGTGCGATGGGATGTGTTATTCCTAGAGATACCCTCTCAAACGGAGGGGGAAAATGATTAAAAACACCCTGAAATGGGCTGTCTGAAACTACTGGAGTGTCTCCCACCCAATGGTTACAGTGAATTTTCTGCCAAACGATAGAGGAAAAGACAGAAATACCCCCTCTGTGCTTGGCTTTAGGAATGTGCTTTTCTCTTCTTGAGATACAAATACTTGCGTAAATGCTTTTCTGCAGTAGAAGCCTAGGTGAGGTGGCGAGAGGTACATTTACCCCAAACATGCCTTACTTTAACTTCTAGGTTTTGTCTGTTTTATGTTTTCTTTTTACTGTTTGACAATACCTGTTTTTGTGCTGGAGATTTTGATAGGATTTTAACTGGTACAGTGCAGTCACTTTTTAAAGTGTCGAGAAACACTGAGCCGCTGAAGTAATTTTTATGTTCAAACCTCAGGTTCCTGAGGGTCCGGTTCATTTCTGCTGTGAATTTAAATGAGTTAATTTAAGCAGTGGGTCAGAAGCCACTACCATCGTAGTAGCCCTGTGCCTGATTCTTAATTAAAGGCAACAGGAGATTAATTTGAAACATTAATTTAAAAGTGCCTATACAAAAGGAAAGAATTATTGCAATAAAGCCTAAAGAACTTTTTTGTCCCTAGATGTAGAAGACAGAACTAGCTCAGGGTCCTGGGGGAATACAGGACATCCTAGTCCATCCAGGGTAAGTATATCTAATCTTTTTCCCCAAACCAGACTTCCTGCATATGTAAATTTACAATCTTAAATATGAGTTTTACACCTGATTGCATAGAAAAATGGGCATGCAAAGTTGGCTGTAGCCTGTCTTCTCTTTAAAATTGCCCTTTTTTTTAACATTCAAACCTGATCCTATGATTGAATTTGGCACCTGCTCTGCTACTTCTAACAGGTAGTGAGAATATTAATTAACCATTTTTTTTCTTGCTAGGCCCTA